CACCCCCTTGTCCAAGTCACTAATAAAGAAATTGAACAGTGCCGGCCCAAGGACCGAGCCCTAGGGGACTCCACTGCTCACATCCCTCCAGGTCAAATATGACCCATCATCCAGCACCACTCTCTGAGTGTGGCCCCTCAGCCAATTTGCTATCCATCTGACTGTGTAGGCATCAATGCCACAGTCGCCTAGCTTTTTAATGAGAATGGGGTGGGAGACGGTGTCAAAGGCCTTCCTGAAGGTCCAGAAAGGCTACATCTACCGCATCAGGTTGGCCTGACAGAACCTGCCCCTAATGAAACCATTCTGGTTGCCCCTGAGCATCATCCTCACTGCTGGCCCTTCACAGATGTGCTCCTTGATATTCTTCTCCAAGAGCTTCCCCAGGATCAAAGTAAGACTAACAAGCCTATAGTTGCCCGGGTCCTCCCTTGCCACAGGCCAGCTGGGCAATGTGAGTATATCAATTTAGCTACTTGTCTGTTTGGTTCGGGATCAAGGAGGCAGAGTTGGGAGTAAAACAATGGCAAATTTATTATAGCTTACACACACACAACAGTCAACAGAAAGATGAATGCAATAAGCAGATAATGCAGTATTAAAGAGCTAATAGTAAATAATCACAGATAATAGCAACAGATAAATAGATCAATCTGTCGCAGGCCAGCTAGGCACTGCAAGGGTTTCAGTCCCTGGGCTGTTTAAAACAACAAATAGACAGACATGAGTTGGCAACTTATCAGTAGTCTTTCAATGCCAGGTGCACGCCAGGTGATTTCAGCAAAGTCAGGTGTCTCCAGTTGACGCTGTCTGAAGCATTACTGGGGGAAGGTCCCTTGATCAGGATCCAATTCTCACTCACACCGGGAGTCTGGAGTCCGGGCTTAGAACAGCAATTTCTGTCTTGTTCCCTCCTTCCCGTTGGTCACCTGACGCACACACTTTTTATACTTAGTTTTATGCTAATCTGCTGGCCTTAGGGCCCTTCACAATCTTGTTTTATAGCTATTACCCTATGGGATTAAAAGGTGTTAAAATTATTATAAAAGGTTATTACCCAAACTTGAGTTTATCCAATAAGCAAATTACAATGCACCATCTTCAGGTTTGAACTTAACATTACACTGCCCAAATCTAACCCCTTTAGAACTCTCTGACTATGCTTCTTTGAGATGTACTTTCATAGAACGTGCTGGGTAAGCTAGGCAGTTGAATCTAGTTTTTATCATAATCAAGGCTAAATTCTGAGCAAGAAAAGACCTTTAGGTCAGCTAATTTTACAGCTATAGCTTTGTCTTTGAGGCTTAGTCAGTTCTACAAACAGTTACAAGTTACATTTGCGAGTTACAAAAATACAAGCTTTATATTAGACGGAAGTTCCAAATGCCTCTAAAGAGCACATATTTATTGCTTATTAATTTCTTTAGTTCTAGCCATCACACTCCCTCCTCCCTTTGGTATACTCCTCTTTGGTGATAGCCCCTCCCTTCCACTAGGTGTACGCCTCCTTTTTGGCAGTCGGGCATTCCCAAATGCCTTTGGTGAGCCAGGGGGCTTTTGAGCACTCTTGCCCCCTCTGATTCTCGTTGGGATTGTTACCCTTTGGGCTCTGAGTATCGTCTCCTTAAGGAACGACCACTCGTCTTGGGCACCCAGTTTCCCTACTCTCCAGGACCCCAGTGCCTCTCCTACCAGTCTCCTCAACTCATTGAAGTTGGCCCTCTTGAAGTCAAGGGCTACCGCCTTGCTGCAGGCCCTTGACACCCTGCGCTGGATGGTGAATTCCAGCAGGTGATGATCACTGTCGCCCAGGTGGTCAAGAACCTGAAGTCCCCTCACCAGGTCATCGCCTGTGGGCAGGACCAGGTCCAGCAGGACATTTCCCCTGGTGGGACTGTGCACCTCCTGGGTTAAGTGGAGGTCCTGTATCTCAGCAAGGAATCTTCGTGAGTGATCCGACCTGGCTGACTGCTCCTCCCAGCAGATGTCTGGGTAATTGAGATCACCCATGACAACTACATCCCTTGCCTTAAGCGCCTCAGCAAGCTGACCCAAGAATTCGTAGTCCAGCTCCTCCCCTTGGTTGGGAGGTCTGTAGTAGACCCCCACCATTAAGTCCCTTTCCCCACGACCCCCCTGTATGCTGACCCAGAGCACTTCAGCCTGCCCCTCCTCTGACCCCATCCTGCTAGTTGAGGATGTGTATTGCTCTTTTACGTAGAGTGCCACACCCCTGCCTTTCCTCCCTGCTCTATCTCACCTGTATAGTCTGTAGCCCCTAATGTTAACCACCCAGTCATGAGATGAATCCCACCAGGTTTCTGTGAGCTCTACTATGTCCGGGTTTGAGCTAGCTATTTGGAGGGCGAGTTCCGCCTGCTTATTCCCCATACTATGAGCACTGGTGTAGAAGCATTTAAGGCCTTGAATTGGTGAGTGTGCCACCCCCCGATTGCCAGGACTATCCGGACCCCTGTCGCTTACCTGGGTACTCCTTATGCATATCATCTGTCTTGGTTGGGAGGTGTCCTTAAGTCCTCCTGTGGCCCCATCCCCTGGCGAAGCTAGTTTAAAGTGCGCTGCATGAGATCAGCCAGCCTGGAAGAGAAGACACACTTGCCTTTAGGGGAGAGGTGTAGCCCATCCCACCCAAGCAAGCCCCCTGCTCAAAAGTATGGGTCGTTATCCAGGAACCGGAAGCCTGCCTGGTGGCACCAACTCTGTAACCATTGGTTGACCTCGCCAATGTGTCACCATCCGCGTCTACTTACTGGGAGAATAGAGGAGAATACCACCTGTGCCCCCGTCTCCTTGAGCTTGGCCCCCAGGGCCTCAAAGTCCTTCATGATGCAGTCTGGGTTGCCTCTGGCTGCATCATTTGTTCCCACATGGATAAGAACCATGGGGTACTGGTCTGAAGGTTGAATGTAGGCTGGGATCCTCTCTGCAATATCATGAATCCTAGCCCCTGGCATGTAGCAGACCTCTCGTGCCATGGGGTCGGGTTGACAGGTGGGACCCTCTGTTCCTCCATTCCTTAGGATGGAATCCCCAATGATGAGGATCTGGCGTTTCTTCCTCCTGGTGGCTCCTGCGGGGGCATTGGCCCCTGCATCTGTGTGTGGGATAAGGGTGGGCTGCTGCTGCAGGCTGAAACTGGCACCAGGCTCTTCCCAGCTGGGGCTGGGCCAGGCTGCACTTGAGGCGGTTGGCGGTGGCACTGGGAGAGATGCTTTGGGTAGGGGGCTGCAGCCAACCCAAAATTTGCCATAGTCCCCCCAATCCCTCTCCCAGCACAGCTACCCCCCGCCCCAAGTGCAGTCCTGGCCCAACCCCGCTGCCGGAAAGAGTCTGGCACTGCCCCAGGCCGCAGTGGCAGCCTGCCCTCACTTCGCACAGATCTGGAGGCACACAGCCCTGGACGAGCCACTCGTGGCTCCATCCCATGCCCTGCCCCGGCTGAACACTGCATGCTCCTGCCCCACTCTCTCCCTCACCGCAGGGGCCTCAATCTGCATACTGCTTCCCTTTCCCTACCCCTTCCCCCACAACAGGCTTACCAGCCAGATGCTGCTCTCCAAGCTGCCAGGCTGTGTTCCTGGCCGCATACGTGCTGCAGCTGTGTGCATGCACAGGGCATTTATCAGCCATATTATCAGCCACATCAAGCAAATAAAAGCCGATTGCCGATTCCATCAATTTACTCTATATTGGTGCCGATCTGATATGGGACCGATGTATCAGTGCACCTCTAGTTTTCGTTCCTCTTCCTTCTCCTTTTTTTCCCCACATCCTCCTTGTATTGGTTTTCTTAAGTATAATACGTATATTTCTTTGTATTAACATGGTTGGATTTCTTTCAGCTTAATCATGTTTGTATATCCATTATACTGCTTATTGTGAAATAATGAGAAGAAAACCTTTATATTTTGTTTTTAACCTTTACACTACTTACAGGTGTGTTTTAATCTTGGTTTCAATCTAAGATAACAATATTTTTCGTTTGGATTGATTGGTTTGCATAGCAACATTTGAAAAATCTGTTTGTGTATTCATTTAGCTCTCCAGTTTCATTTATCTTGATCAAATGACCTTCTGACTTGCTTATTTTCTATTGTTGAAAGACATTATTCATTTATTTTTTCTGTACCTTTACATCAGGTCAGGATGGAACCTTGCAGTCTTTTTCCACAGTTCATGAAAGATTCAACAAAAGCTTAGGACACGGTAAGTAGTTCATTAAAAATTGAAATGTAAAAACGTATTAACATTACCAGGCTTATCTTTTCCTGTTGGTAGACTATCAAGTCACACAAACAGAAGTTCAACCCTATTTAAGCTATTTAAAATGGGTTAGTATTTCAGAAAAATCGTACTGCTTTCTGTAAAGGCTGATTTCTAAAGAAAAGTCAAATACTCAGGTCTTATTCATTTCATGCTTTCAAACTGCTCTGAAGACAGACTTACTCATTTCCTCAAAGTCCTTTCTGTGAGACTCATTGTGGTAGAATGAGTACTTCCCAAATGTCATAAGTCTTCACACACTGCTTAAATGAAGAATTTTTCTTTTTTTTTTTCTCGCATGGGGGAGTGAGAGACAGAGAGGAAGAAAGATGTAAAAAATACTGACTAATTTTTGAGTGCCAGATTTTTTAGTGGCCTAGCACCTCTTATTTTCAAAACACAGGTCTTACTGACTTCAGTTGCAGCTGAAAGTCTGTCCTTAGGGTATCGATTCTGGCACCCAAAAAATGAACGATACTTAA